AAAAATAATAAATCCGTCGGAATTCCGTCGCTTTGCGCAGCCGTCGAAAATCCGTTGGTTTTGGCCACCGTCGAAAATCCGTCGGAAGTTTTGGCCGTCGGAGATCCGTCGGTTACCAGGATCGTCGGAAATCCGTCGGAAGTTTTGGCCGTCGGAAATCCGTCGGTAGATGATTCCGACGGATTCCGGTTATCCCTTTTCCGTCGGAAATCCGTCAGTATTTGCGACGGATTCCCGACGGATTTTTATTTCCGACGANATAGAACCGACGGACAAAAAACGTCGGAAAGCCGTCGGAATATGGCTTATTCCGACGGATTTTCGACGGTTTTGACCGTCGAAAACTGCCCTGTTTTCTTGTAGTGTTTGGATTGATCGATCCCTTTGGCTCAGATAAAAATATTTTCTAACAGTTGGATCGATCTCTTTGCCTTGGTCAGATTTGCTTCTTCGTCATCTCATGCACATGTCTATCAGTCCCACCAATCCCTTTGGTTCAGTCCAAATTACTTCTTCGTTTTTGCTCCAAACTCCACCCAAAAGACCGATGGACACTCTTTTTCTTATATGTATTGGTTATACAGATAATTCGATCTTTTTCTCTGTGAACACTCTTTTTTCGTCATTACTGACTTGATTGTTGATTTCATTTGTATTCTCAAAATCAAATTAAGACAAGAAAAGAATGACATTTGTCTCTTACAATATATCACCTAATTGCTTAATTTCAAGTCATGGCTTCCATAGATTTGGTTAAAATAAAACATATAGTTTTATTCAATTTTGTCAATTGCATATGTTACTTCATTTTCCGTTAGCGAAATTTAAATGGCATTTTGACCATTTAGAAGAACTAATACATAGGGTCTAAACGAACTTTTGTATTTAAAACTAATATTTATTTTAAGATAATCAAAATAAAATATATGTGTAGATGAATATTTACAAACATAATATACTATAGATAATTACAAGATGATTAAATTATATGAGAATTGAGAATTTAGTGCATGATTTGATGAAAGAGCCAAAAATATGTGCTATAAATAAGAATGGGTTCAAAGAATAGATTCTAGAAAGAAAATTTGATATGCACTACAACACAATAAAGAAAACCTCGCAAAGACTAGTAGGTATCTCTCAAGATTTTTTTACGTGTAAATAATGGA